TCAACTCTATTAACTGTAATTTGATTAATTGGTTACTCATGTGCTCCACGCTCACCCTGACAGCTCAGTGAAATGCAGTTGCTAAGGATTCAATGAACACATACACTTCTCAAGAAATAATGATCTTTCTCCGGTGAGGACAGAAGTGTCTTGGTTTTAAACCAGAGGAGCTAGATAAAGAGATAGATTTTTGTCAACGTCATCCCAAAGAGGTCATATAATTCATCTTATCTCTCCAACCCACAAAAAGAAGCGTAAGGAGATAATGTGTTGAGCGCAGGTCCAAATTAAGAAATTCCTGTATGGAGAAGTGGGTTAACGGGCCAGTGATGGATGGGCCGCCCCGTTTTCTCCGGTGACTAATGACGACCTCTTCACTTCTCTGAGATTTGGGCTCCTCTGCTGTGGTGAGAGTGATTGAGCGTGTCTGGGGAGGGTCATCTTGGTGTTTGCTTCTCCGCTGAACTACTTCTAAAGGACCGTGTTCGGCTGAAGTCTACAAAATTGTTAAAACACCCTTGAGATGACACCAGCATGAATTTCCAAGCTGGTTTTTGACAGATTAGTGTTGGTCCAGCTGGTGGATCACACGCAATGCCCCAGATAAAAAATGACGAAGGTGGCATTGACCAGTAAAATTGACTATTTAGGGGCTACATTTCTTTTTTAGTTTAAAATTGCAGATCACTCTAGTGATTCTCATAGTATTTGGTATATTTAAATATCATTTGTTTAAAAAACTCTGAGTAACGCCCATGAACGATTCACTGAATCTGATTCAACCCAATAACTCTCAGGCTGCGTCCAAAGTATGTATATATTAGTGCTGTCAAACGATTAATCGCGATTAATCACTTCCAAAATAAAAGTTTTTGTTTACATAATATATGTATGTGTACTGTGTATATTTATTATGTATATATAAATACATACACATACAGTAAATATTTTTTTTATATTTACATGTATATATTTACATTTTTATATTTTATATTATATATAAAGATATTTAACATATAAACAACATTTTTTATAAATATATACATGCATGTGTTTGTACTTATATATGCATAATAAATATACACAGTATTCACACATATATTATGTAAATAAAAACTTTATTAATCGTTTGACTGCACTAACACACACACACACACACACACACACACACACACACACACACTGTTTTATATTATATATATAATTAAATGCTTTCCCTCATTCCCTTTTAAACTTACGTTCCCTACCATCTATGCTGATTAGATAACTACCCAATATGGTAGGTATGTAATATAAATATTAGGTATTTAATACATACAAATATTTTATTAATATTATTTAAAAAAAAAGGTCATTTACCACCAAGTCAGTTTTTACTTGCTAATTTATTTAAAAAAAATTACAAATATTTTAGATCTCCTCTACAAAAACTATGTAGTATATAAATATTACAATATAGACTACATATAACTTGTTTGTCTACAGTTATAAATCCGAAGGGCAGTTATAAATCACTAAATTACAAATAATAAAAATAAACCAAAAAGCAATCTAGATTTTGATATGGCAGCTGTTGTGTAAGAAAACATTCACTCCTATAAAAACAGTAACTGTCATTTACGTTTCCTGTAAATGTAGGCCCTACTCTTTATTAGGTTCCCATGGGTAACACTTTAGTTTGGGGACCAATTCTGACAATTAGCTAGTAGCTTATTAGCATGCATATTACAAGCAATATTGGCTGTTTTACTAATACTAAATTGGCTGTAGTACTAATAAAGCACATATTAATGCCTTGACCATATTTGTAGTTAATAGTTATTAGTGAGAATTGGTCCCTAAACTAAAGTGTGACCAATTACAGTTACTCCTCTTATAAGAATAATTTCTTGGGTGAATTTTATGATGCATGAAAATGCATATTTTAGGCTAAATTATAGCATCCATTTCCTTGTTGCAATACAAAAATGTTTTTCACTACTGTAACTGACAGCGCATATATTCAACTCATCGGAAATGAATTATCACCCATCATAGTGGTCTGGCCAAATAGAACATTTACTCAGATCTGGCAAAATTTGCAATTGTTAATTTCATGCCCTGGTTTAGGGGCACAAACACCTGTTTCTCCATTTGTAGATTTATTTTTGTCTTATTTGTTGGTGTCAGATTTAGTGTGGTGGCATAAGACCGTGAACCAGAGCCTGAAAGTGACCTAAAAGTTGCCAACCCTTCATATAGACAAACATGGAGCATCACAGTCAATGTTTACAAGTCTTACTAGTTTTGAAAACCTGATTTAAAGTCTCAGCTACTTTATAGCTTTAAAACGTTAAATATATAACAATTATAACACCTATCAATTTTTGCATGCTATTTGTAAATAAAGTCGTTATATGTCAGATGAACAGAACAGATTCACTTTTTCGTTAATAGAGTTACCTTTGCAGCACAACAAAAATTGAAATTGGTTGTTGTGCTCATCAGTTTTTTGTGATCTAGTTTTGATTTGTGACCGTGCTTTACACTGAGGATATTATCCTGACTCTCAACAGACGTTATGGTTCCTGGTTTAAGACCAGCAGCAGGTTTAAAGGCTCATAGCTGAGGCTATTTTTCTGCTTTTCCTTGTTGGCAACACGTGGAACGGGGCCAAACTGGGCACTGGGTCTGGCACCAGCAGCCTTTACACTGAGGATATTATCCTGACTCTCAGTCTCTGACGTTATGGTTCCTGGTTTAAGACCAGCAGCAGGTTTAAAGGCTCATAGCTGAGGCTATTTTTCTGCTTTTCCTTGTTGGCAACACGTGGAACGGGGCCAAACTGGGCACTGGGTCTGGCACCAGCAGCATTGCCAGCGTGTCTGTGTAAAGTGGTATTTGTGATTGAGAGAGAACAGCGACCCACAAGTTCTCGCTCTATTAAGTCCTGTCAGGACACTGTAAATAAACGGGACCCACTTCACCCGCTTCTAGTTGACCCCAAAAGTGTCAGGCTTTGTCTGCACGGCGTGGGTGATGCCTTGCTGTAATACAGTCTGCGCAGTGAGACGTTTTGATAAAAGGTGCCCTCTTAATCTGTCTGTATTTATTAGCGCCCACAGTTTAGAGCTCGAGGCACGACGGCAGACAAAGCAGCTGAAGGCCGCGGGTCGCTTTGATCGGCCATGCTGCCACATTTCAGCCCATTGTTCTCCGCTCAGCCCTCCCAGCCATTCAGACCCCATATACAACACGAGCCTAAATCAACCTGATTACTATGATAAAGACTTACCCTGCTTTCTTTTCATTCCATTTTCATTTCAAAGGAGTGTTAGTCCAGATCCAGCTCTAAATTATGATTATTATCACTCAGGGAGGCAGGCTGATTCATTTCCAAGAGGGAGGACTGCCACGGACCCAGAAACACTTGAGCTGATATGAGGAAGCGCAGATCAAAGCGGCGGAGAAAGAGAATGGGAGTGCAGGAAACAAACATTTCTGATTACTAGTGCGTTTAGATGTCACGCCAGTCCTTCTTCTGAATCATTTATCAGGCTAGCATCATTCTGCACACATGAGCAAGAGCATTTCATGTCCTCATATGCTGAGCCAAGCAAGCCACATGAGAGAAATATGTGTGCTAATTTAAATCACAATTTATGATGTTTGAAATGCACATCTTAGTGTTCATTTAAACATTTATTATATTTTTTTGTTATTCTCACTTAAAGATTTTGTAGTTAGTGACATTTTTATAGCAAAATAGAAAATGTTATGGAGAGAGGGATTGTTTTTGATTGACTAAAAAGAACTGATTCATAAGAGTCAATTGTTTCAGGAATCGCTCTGTATGATTTTGATTCACTGAAAAGAAGCGACTCATAAGTCATTTACTCATCGATCGGACTACACTGTTTGTGTGCATTGTTTGTTTTTTGCATGCAACCCATAAGGTCAACTTCATAAAAAGATGTTTCTTGCCATTATTGCATGGCACACAAACTTTTATTGCATTACGTTCAATACAGACAACTCACAGCTCAGGTAAATATGATTTGTTTTGCAGTGGTGCAGGAAAGGCTGATACATAAATCATTTAAACTTGTGCATTATGAAAATACTGATTTGAAAAAAATTAATAACTATTTTATTGAGTTAACTCAGCAAAATGGGATGCTTTGTAGAAATAGACTACCAGTCAAAACTTTGTGGACATTAACCTCTTAACTGTCAGCGTCACATTAGCGATGCTAATCATCCTAAATTAGATATCATTCGAAAGCTTATACACTCAAAATTGTTGACTGCTTTGTGATAGAAGTAATATTGTGATAGAAATGTAAAACATTTGACAGGAAAATGCTTTAAAAATTATGTGGTTTGGGTAGCTATTAATATAGGACCTAAACAAAATCTCACAGTAACCTCAATTTTTGTGATATCAACTTTAAATTTGGAACATAACTTAGTTGATTAGATTCCAAAATATTTTGTAAAATATTTTAAGTGTTAAGTGTTTTTTTTTTTTTTTTTTTACATTTGATTGTTTATTAAATTGAGCTTAATTGGATTTCTTTTCATTACAGAACCCAGAATTTTTTTTTTATCATAGTTTCCATAAAAATATTAAGCAGCACAACTGTTTTCAACATTGATAGCAGTAAGAACGTTACTAGTACAGCAAATCAGCATGATTTCTGATGTGACACTGAAGTAATGATGGAGTAATGATGCCTAAAATTCAGCATTATATATTCAAATAGAAATTAGTTATTTTAAATTGCAATAATATTTCACAATATTTTCACAATATTACTGTTTTAACTGTATTTTTGATCAAATAAATGCAGCCTTGGTGAGCATAAGAGACTTCTTTCAATAACATTAAAAAATCTTACTGACCCTAATCCTTTGAATGACACACAGCCACTGAAATTAAGTATAGAGTAAAGACTCTTGGGATTTGATTCATAATTGAATAGTTGCATCTAACTTTTCACCCTCTGTCTTCCTCTTAGCCTCAGTCCAGCCCTGCGCCCAGAGGCTAGTGTGGGACCATGATGCTCAGCAGCTCAGTGGACGTACCCAGCCCTGGCGGGATGAGTGCGGTGGCGGCCCGGAACGTGGTTCGCAGTTCCAGCATCAGCGGCGCCATGTACAGCCTGGAGAAGAGCCCCAGCAGCACGGGGCCCGACGCCACAGGCCTGGCCGGAAACAAGAAGCGTCGCTCCAGCCTGGGAGCCAAGATGGTAGCCATCGTGGGTCTGTCACAGTGGAGCAAGAGCACACTGCAGCTCAACCAGCAAGGTGGGCAAGCTTTGAATACTCCAGCTACCCTGCTGTTCTCCGTCAGATATGATTGTTGTTTTCTTCACCTCTGTTTGCTCTCGCTGTCGCAGCCTGAACAATTTCACACCATGGTTTGCCATTTCTGGTGTGTAGTTTTTTCTCACTTCATTTCACTTTTCTTCACCTCCGCTCTACGTTCTTGTCCTTATTTAACTTTCAAGGTTTCATAAGGTTGCCAAGTCCTGTCAGTCTCAGTCCTCAACTGTTTTGAGGGCCATATGCAAGACAGAATTATTATTATCGTATTTTCTGGCTTGTGGACTTTTATAACAATATAAAATCATTCAGGTTTTCAGAGAAATTAGATTCATTGCTATTATAAAACAATAGGCTACTTGATATTGCATTAATGCAAATGTCATACAAGAGTCTCACACAATGATATCAGTCATTGTCCAACCAACCATTGCAAAAAAATTCATGCTTAACAATTTTCCTCCCTGCTTTCAGGAAGACATTACATTCCAGAAATCAGTAAAAACAGAGAAATATCAAAGCAGCTGAACACAGCCAAGCTTTAAAACACACAAACGGAATAACTTATCACTCCAGAGCTGCAGGTTTAACCAGTCTAATATACATCTAGACCAGGGGTGCCCAAACTCGGTCCTGGAGGGCCGGTGTCACCTTAATCTTTACATGATCAGGAGGACAAAAAAAGAGCATGTACTAAGTATTCCCTATTTTTTTAATGTTTTAGGACAATTAAATTTAATTAAAATGAAGAAGGATTTTGAAAGTCTGACAGTAATCAGTGTTGAGTACTACTGTAAGGTTAACCCTGCCTGCATGTTTTAAAATTATTAACAGTTAGAAATGTAGAAAAGTAATCAAAAAGTAATCAAATGTAATCAGTTACATTACTTTAATAAAGTAATTGAAATAGTTACACTACTTATTTCTTTTTAATAGGGTAACTTGTAACCTATTACATTTCCAAAGTAACCTTTCCAACAATGCTTTTTAGCACACAATGTTACTCTTATGCGCACTATAAACTATAGTGGAGCTTCATTGTGTTCCACAGTGATTTAATGAAAATATAATGGTAGTAGCCTACTAGGAAAAAATCGTTTCTGGATAAATATGTTTAGATAAATATATGAACTATTTCTGACCATGTTTCATTGGTTTCCATTATCTACACACACATTTTTAGATCTTGCACTTATTACTTGTCTTTTTTAAAACCCAGCTCTTAGCTTAAATCCTAGCTCTGCTCTGATAGCCTCCAAAACACTTCAGTACGGTCAAACACCTTTCAGAAAGTGTATGAATTTAGTCATCAATTTGTGTTTAAATTGGTGCAGACATACAGGGAAACCCCTTCATTAGCTGTTCTTCATCTGGTCTGCATGTTTATTTGTGGCCGTAGGATATTAATGCTGTGTGTTAGTCAGCGGAGCGTGTGTAGATTGCTCTTAGTCAAGCGCTGAACAGGCTAACCTTCCCATCACCCTGCATGACTCATGCATGTGTGGCTGAGTAACACAGCATAACCTTGGCTTCTCCCAGGAATAAACCTGCATCTCAATTCCGTTTGTCTTGTTGGTGAGAAAGAGAGGATTTCACCGACCTAGATTAGAGTCTGAGGACGCTTCTGTTGTCTGCAGCCCACGGCTGTGCCTTTCTTTTTATACCCTCTTATTTTTGCTCTCCTCCGGTGTAATTGTGCTCCTGTGGGGTAATTACAGACTCTGTGACCAGGGGGAATTGTCATGTAACACTCTCGCTCTCTATAAGGGTCAAGAGCAGCCCACAAGCGTTAACACAGTTCAGCAAGCCAGCGCTGCAGTGTGTTCATGTGAGCCGTCCTGGCAAACGCAGACGAACCTGTCAGACAAATCCAGCTGCCAGTTTGTAAGGACTCTTGTAATGAACACATTGGGTTAAATATATTTTACTGTTGACTGTTTCTTCAGTTTCTGCACAGTTCAGAATTTAAGAACTGGCTCCTTTTTGATTCATGAGAGTGAATTTGGCTACAGGATGTTGAATAGGAATTCAACTTGCAATGACAGCACAGTGTCACCCAAAATCCTTCTGTCACCCAACAGAAGGATTTTATTAGTCCAACAGTTGTTTTTTTATTAATTTAATTATGCCTGTTTGTTCCCTCGTATGAATGATATGTTTTTTCTCAACTGATTAGATGTATTTCTCTAAACTGTCAAAACACTTCCTTTGCTTTGACAAACATTAGGGCATTCTGGGCAATGAAGTTTCATCCACCATGGGCCATTTTGTCCTATATAACTATTAATAGCTTATTAATATAAATTATATGTATAATAAATTGTATTACTAGAATAGTATTACTTGACTTAAATATACAATGGGCTATACATAAAGTCTGAGACTACTAGTGAAATTTTTTTTTTAATTCAAATTACATTATCGCCGTAACAATTTGAGTGAAGCATGGTTAATTTATGCAGCAACGTGGAATCAGAATCGAGACAAATGCACCTCTAAATCACTAAAATGGGAAAAGTATCATTTGAAAGCAATAAAAATATCCCATAGAAATAAACGTCTGTGAACAGTGCAAAAATACAGTACAGTAAATAAAATGACCTTGAAGCAAATATAGGTGTTTTTACTGATGTTCTACGTCATTTGGGAGTTACACACTGTTTAATCCATAATGTTTTTGCAAGATTTTAAGATTGGGGCGACTGGCGTGTTTTTCAGGGCCGATGCCGATTATTACATATCAAGCAGACCGATAACCGATACTTTGAACTAATATATATGTCTGGTGTAAAAATGAAAAATAAATGTAAAAATGAAAATTAATGTCAAAATTAAGGGCTCTGACAAAAACTTTCTTTAAATGCTTTTAAATTATTTTATCGGCAAATCGGTTCAGAAAATGACCGATACCGATAACCATAAAAATGGTTCAGGGCAGATAATGTGCCAGATCGATAATAGGTCGATGCCTATTTTTAAGATTTAAAAATGTGAAAAAACGAAAAAATACTGCCTGTAACTTCGCTCTTTAAAGGGATAGCTCACCCAAAACTGCAAGATCTGTCATCATTTACTCACCCTCATGTCTTTCCAAACCGGTATGGCTTTCTTTCTTCTGTGGAACATAAAAGAAGATATTTTGAGAAATGTCTCTTTTTTTGTCCATATAATGGGGACCAGCAACATACTTCAAAATATCTTCTTTTGTGTTACACAGAAGAAAGAAGGTCTAACAGGTTTTGAATGACATGATGGTGAGTAAATGATGACAGTATGTTAATTTTTTTAAACCTTGTATCACTTAGTAAATTAGTATTGGTCTGTAAAGTTATAAGGGCGTGACTTCACAGAGAGTCAGTTCTCTTTCTATCTCTCTTACTTTCTCTCTCTCATTACCTTATGTTGTTGCCTATGTGCGCTTTATAAAGGATGACCTTTTCAGTGCGCTGTTGTCTCCCAGCAGGGCTGATGAGTCTCAAGGGCTGGATGTATTGTTGGTTTGGGGCTCCAGGGTTCACCTGTCTGGGGCATCAGGGCCAGCACCTCAGCACCCTTATCCTGGATAACTGCTTTACTTTGCTCTGTCACATTTCCACTTCCACACACCATGGATTCCAGCCAAGCAATTTAATCCGATACTGTGGTGTGGGTCTTATTCAGCTCCGAGTCAGTGATGCAATAAATGTGAGTGCATAAGCTCAGGGAGCCGAAAGACGGTGGAGAAATTGAGTGATGAAGGAGAATCGAATGGGTGATTGACTGACAAGACTGATAATAGACTCATTTATACTCAGCTAGAGGCCAGAATGCTGATGTGGATGTGATAACAGTTTCAAAAAGATGTATATCTTTTTTTTTTTTTAATAATATAATGTTAATGGAATAAAAGGCCACTCAAGTGTACTTAAATAGAGTATACACTTATTCTGATGTGTTTACTAACATAGTAAAGCACATTTAAAGTACTTGATTATAATTTTACTGTTTTGTTATTCAATATTTCATTTAAAGTTAATAAATATTAAAGGGGTCCTATTATGCTCTTTTACAAAGTCTTGATTTTGTTTTGGGGGTGTACTAGAACTCATACTAGGTTGTTCGAAAAACGCATTATTTTTCACATATTTTACATTATTACAACACCTCTCTCCCCAGTCTGGCATGAACGACTCAAATAGTTCCTGTATCAAATGAAGGCCCGCCTTCTGAAATACGAAATGTGATGTGATTGGTTAGCTGGGCCAGTGTGTGCTGTGATTGGCAGCAAGAAGAAGGCCAACCTTGAAGAATGTAATCAAGGCTGAACACCTCTTAATAAGCTCTATATTAATCCTCATCATAGGCTTGGACGATTTAAAAAATGAAACCAAGCAGCTTACGTCCTTTCTATCTGACATGTATTTGTAAACGATTCATTTCGAGCATATGGGTGAGTCTCTGTCATGGTACAACATGACACCTTCACTTTTCAGCAGCACTGAACGACTCTGGCAGGCAGGCAGGCATCACTGGCACCCGCTCCATCTCCATGACGACAGCAGGCGGCTTCACGCCACTCACCCGACCCTCGGTTTTTATTAAAACACTGCTGACTCCTTCCAAAATGAGCTGTCAATCTATTTGCTGTGGGGCCTTTGTACTGCAGGTCATGCTAATATATATAATGTATATCTGAGCATGCAGTGTTGGGCAAGCTACTTGGAAAATGTAGTGAGCTAAGCTAACAGTTACTCTTCATTCAATTAAGCTTCACTACACTAAAGCTACAGCCGATAGTCTCAAGCAATACGCATTATATAGTTACAACTCTGTTATATCCTAAATAGAATACTTACACTGATCAGTGTAATAAAGTTCAAGAAAAAAAATCAATTTGTTAACAAATTTCGCAGTTGCATCTGTAACAATAAAAAGCATAAAGTATTCAATTGTTTGCCGTGTTCAGTCATACGGATCATTGCTTATTGTTGTAGTGAGTCATT